ATGTGGTGCTGGGGGATTGAACCGCGGTCCCTGATGCTTTGCTAAGCTTGTTCTAAGTAGGTGCTTTAGACCACTGAGCCATCTCACCAGCCCCGAAATTAATTTTAGAAGATAGTATTTATTTTGTTTGTTTGATATGGCATGTTATTTTGTCCAAGCTAGTTTTAAACTCTTAAACTTCCTGCCTCAGCTTTCTAAGGGGCAGGATTATAGGCATGTGTCATGATTCCAGACAAATTCTGTATTTCTAAAGCAGATTAGCCAGATGTCAGCAGATTGCTGACATTTATCCTATGTTATGTTATTGCATAAGCATATTGCTTTACATATATACCCTAAAGCTTCTAGTCAACTCTGGAAAAGGGACTCTTATTTCAAATGTTTTAGTTAGAAATAATTTTCTTTTAGTGACGTTGGTAAGTCATTAGAATTCTCTCAATAGAATAAATTGTATGGCTTTTTCCTTTTTTGCTTCTGATATCAATGAAGAAATGGAGACCTTAAGAAAAATTGGCATCTTCTTTCTTAAACAAATATTAGCCCCTACTGTTTCACTAGTTATAATACCATTTTCTTTTTCAGTATTGGTGCTTGAATTCAGCACCTTCATGTTGATCTATACCCTAAACCTTTTTATTTATTTTGAGACAGAGTCTTGCTTGCCCAGATCCTCCTGCCTCAATTTCCCAGAATTCTAGGTTTACAGGGATACACCACCACATTTAGTTTCATGGCATTTTCTAGTTGTAGAACTACTTCTTAAATGGGAGTAATTCTTGAATGCTAAATCTCTAGGACTGTACAATTATAGAAAATTTTTACATGTTAGCAATTCTGAAAACCATTTACATGATGGTTGCCTTATATGAATATAAAACATCTCTGTCACTAAACCCTAAATCTTACAGGAGAACTCTGTAAAGAAAATAGTGGGTTGTAGCCATCACTGTGGTACTTGTGAAGTATTATCACAGTTTATTCCTAGGCATGGTGGTACATTCCTATAATTCCAGCACTCTGGGAGATTGAAGCAAGAGGATCCTGAATTCAAGCCCTACATAGCAATTCAGTGGCTTAAGAAGACCCTGTCTCAAAATTAAAAAAGAGCTAGAAATGCAGCAATGTCTTATTTTCTGACAGAAAAGTTTAAGAACTGTTCCTGAGACATTCATTTTATTTTATTTTATTTTATTTATTTTTGAAACAGCATCTCACTATGTAGTACAGGCTGGCCCTAATCTCACTAATGTAGCCCAGGCTCGCCTCAAATCCATGGCAATCCTCTGATCCTCCTGCCTCAGCCTCCCGAGTACTGGGATTATAGGCATATACTACCATGCTCAGCTGACATTAATTTTAAAGTTGATTTCAGAAAAATAAGATCATGTCCTTTCCTCAGGAGGGCACTGAAATGAGATGAGACTGTCATGTAGCTGGAGTCACCAGTCGTTTTATTATTGCATAAATCTGGATTTCTGGTTAACAGAGTTTCAATTTTACTATAGAACCTGCCCACAGTCAGACCTTAAACAACTTCCAAAATGTAAATACAGGCTAGCCTGATAGCTCAGTGGACTAAAGAGCCTGTTTAGGTACAGCGCAGAGGCCGGGAGTTGAATCCCCCCCACCTGTGCCAGCCCCGCCCACGGGGCTCCCTGAGATGACCATTGAGACTGGGTGTGGTGGCGCACGCCTGTAATCCCAGCACTTGGGAGGCTGAAAACAAGAGAATCACTATGAGTCTGATCTATGTAATGAAATCCTGTAGACTCTGTCCTAAATACAGGAAGAAAAAATGTGAATACATCACATATCCAAGAAGTACTGTCACTTACCATCTTGTATCCACTCGGTCTCCTTCGTTCTGGCCCCACTGTGATCCATGTACTTTGATAAGTGCCCTAAATACAAGATGAAGTTAGTGAGTATGTGATCTTGCTTCTTTTGGAAATCAAAGCCTGTTTTTAATCTTTAAAATATGCAAACAACTGGTAAAATTGGCCCTTTGAAAATTGGGCAGATTTCAAAATTAACATCCCAGTGCATGATAGTTACCTACAGATACCATCACCCATTTCTCCTAGAAGTATTTTCAAGGTCATCTTAATAAAGAATAGGGTTACTCAAGAACAGGATTTGGGAAAGTACAGGATAAAAGTGTAGAAATAAAAGGATATTCTTTGTACCTACAAATAAGACGGCTGTTCTTCTGATGGGAAGTTTTGCATTCTTGGAGTACATCAATGTTTGGGCAAGGATGTCAATTTTACCCTTGCATTTTTTCCCCTAGGTGAATAAAAAATAAAGAGTACAAAGCAGTGAAGTAACAGTACTGTTCTAATCACCTGTCATTTCCAGAGGCAGAGAGTACATCAGATACCAAGTATAGTAGTGCTTGAAATAACTACATTGAATACTATCAATGAATACTATGCCACAACCATAGGCTCCTGTACAGAGATAAATCCTTTGAATACCCTTTGCCAGGGGCCAGGGAGATAGCTCGGTAGAATAAGTGCTTGCCCGGCAAGTGCAGGGTTCTGAGTTCAATCCCTGGTTCCAAAAAAAAAAAAAAAAAAAAAAGTAGAACCCTTTGCCAATACCTACTTATGCTGTATATCATATGTGTGATGCCTGCAAAGCTAGCCTAGCTTCTGGAAATTGAACGTGGAGACTTTCTACTAAGCTACATCACCAGCCCTTTTTTATTTTGAGATAGGATCTTGATAAATTTCCCAGGCTGGTCTCAAATATGAGATCCTTTTGCCTGAGCTGCCCCCACCCAGGGTACTGTGATTACAGTCGTGCCTCTACTGCCTCTAACATGCGTGGCTCTCAGCTACATCGTGAGCTCTTCTTTCCTATGAGCTCTTCCCTGACTACTCACCCCTCTGACCAAAACTTGCTCTGAGTTTTTTAAAGGTATTTCTCTCTTGGTATATCTTATTTTCCACTTGAAGTGTCTATTTAATTTTCCAGAGGCTTTATCCTTTTTTCTAAGTTGAAAGATTCTAACTGAAGGTTTAAAATTCTGGGTTGTCCATGCATGTTGGGTTGTCCATGTTTTATGTTTACTGGATGAATGAATGCCCCTCTCCATGAATGTCTTACAAATTTTTGGGGGTGTTTGTGGATACCAGGAATCAAATTTAGGAGTTTGTGCTCACCAGTCAGGTGCTATATTCCCAGCCCCTAGGTTGTTTTTTGTTTTTTACATCTTACAAGTTCACACACGTCCTACAAAGGACTTAGGATTTAACATGGATATTTGTAGTCTTACTAATCAAGGACACTGAATTTCTTACTGAATCCTATCATTGATACTTTACCATATCAGCTATAGGTTTGGCTGCACATTAGAGAGATAATCCTTAGTGGAAAGCCTGACACAAGAGCATTGTGGGGATTTCTAGGCCTGGAGATCTGGTCAGATACCACCACTCTGGGTCCCAAGCAGGATAGATAAATGGGAGATTCCTGGGAATCATCGATTCCATGGATTTCATAATAGGATTGATGTGATTCTATGATCAGTTTCTAAAAAAAACAAGGGTGGGACTTCCTGCAGCTGCCTGGGCCCAATCTCTGTGCACGGCCACACAGCATGGTATCCCTTGCTTGGGGCCATTAAACATGTTGTAATGGAGAGTAAGGTAATCTTTTTTAAAGGGAATACATAACTCCACTTCAATTCACCTCAGCTGGAAGTTTTTGACCAGGTTCTATCAGGTTGGCCTTAAAGGCTCCATTTGATCCATGTTAGTAGGTGTTGAAGAGTTCACAAATCTTTTTTTAATGAGGAAGGTGGTAATAAAAAGTGAATTTATGACTCAGTTGGGAAGAAACTACAGTAAAATAGACCCATAGTAAAAAATAATAATTTGATAATACCAAATGCTGGTATAAAAGGGGATAAAAAATATTTCCTGTATATCATGTTCCTCCATTAAGAACCACATCAGGGAAAAAAATACGTTAGAACCTGTTGAAGAGTTTAGAAGAGCCATTATGTCTCACATACAAAGAATTCGCAGATTGTTCTAACTTCATCAGGTTTAATGTAGAAGGGATCTTTGTCATATACTTCTTGGGGCAGCTTCCATTTCAGGAATTGAGAACATATTTTTAGGACTCGCTTGCTTTCCTGTGGAAAAAGATTATCATAGATCAGCATTTTCAAAACTTTTAGCTGAAGGAAGCTTTCCTCAATAGAACTGATGTCAAATTCTAATGTGAATAAAGTCAAAATTACCCTGGTTGAAGTGAAGATCAGGGTGGAAAGGAGCCAAAGTACTACCCTCCCCCTTTAGTCCTGGAAGGGGTACATAACACTTCAGGGTTCTCAGGAGAATGCTGATGGTTCCAGAAAAAAAGTGTTGGCTATTGGATGTGGTACCCAAATCAGAGACTCGGGCAAAGATTCCTACCTCACTAATGCTCCAGAGACAGGGCTTTCATACTTCCTGCTTCCAATTCTACAAGGTAAAGTACAGCTCCTGAATTTGTGCAGTCCTTGGGCATGTTGGGAGGACATCAGTTCCTTGTCCAGACACTTCAGTAACACTGAATGAGTGGCCTCTTCTCTAGTGCACTGTTCTCAGAATGCCATTGATGGGCCATTCAACCCTTCTGATGTGTCTCCAAGCAAGTATATTATCTCCTATCTATTAGGTATTTGAGTCATAAAAAATTATTTTGGGAACTGATGAGAATGAAAATTAGTTGAGCTACTTTCTTTAGCAATTTTTAGGTATCTAGTAAAGTTAGAACACCCAGATATCCTCCCCAGCTTATGCCTTCAAGAAACTCTTATATGTATGCATAGAAAAATGTGTAAGAATCTACACTTAGTACTGTAATGAAAACCTGAAACTGGGCTGGGGAGATAGCTCAGCAACTGTTATAGTGTCTAGTTGTCCTCCCAAAGCCTCATGCAGTCATGGGGCAGATTTGGGAGTTTGTGATAGATTATTGTGGGTATAGATACTGCACCCTCCCTGGGACAGGTAATTTGCATTACAGTGTAAGAAGGGGAGAGAGACTAGCTAGCTACCTGAGCTGCTGCCACTCCCCTTGCTCTCTGCTCTTTGCTGCCACATGAAAGGCTGTTGTCTGCCTTGTGCTGCTGTGCCTTGGAGCCAGCTGAGTAAGGACTGAAACCTCCAGTGACTGTGAGATAAACAAACCTTTCCTTCCTTCATTTTGAGTGTTGGGTATTTGTCCTAGCAAGGAGAGAAGAGTAACTAAGACAGAATTTGGTATCAGGAGTGGGGCTGTTGCTGTGGCTAAACCTGACCATGTGGATTATGAGCTTTTAGGAATGGCTTATGGGAAGAGATAGGAAAGGTTTGGAGATATCACCTATAAGAGAAGCACTGGAACAGCTTCGGCTGTTCTGTATGAGAGATTCTGGTCAAAGCTCAGAAGACCTGAAGGCTCACAGAAAGCCTATCTGTAAAGGCCAGGCTGGGGAGGTTTCTGCTGGGAAGAAGGACTGCATTGGTTGTTGGACTCTGGATGATTTGTGTCATGGCTTGACAGAGTTTGTCTGCATTTTGCTTGTGTCCAGAGACTTTGCCTGAGACTAAGATAAAGTGTAGTAGACTAATTAATCTGGGAAAAGAAATGTCAGAGCAGTTAAATACTGAGGGAGTGGCAAGGCTATTGTTGGGGGCTTTTAGTCAGATTTACGTTGAGAATGAAGAGCAAAGGGCCCAACAGGATGATTTAAAATGTTGTGAGTTTGGCCAGAAAGGAAGCTCCAATAAAGCTGTGGAATGCAAAGATAAAGCTGAGAGGATCTCCATTGCCCAGAAGGAATAAGATAATCAAAAGGATGGCCCGAGGGTATCACAGGAGGCCTCAGGTCTCCACCCTTTGCAGCCTCAGAATTACAAAGGTTGAGGACTTTGCCTTAAGTGGAAAGCCACAGAGCCCCATGTTCCAGAATGGCTGCAGTGCCACACCAGGTTCCAGGATGGCACTGGCATGGAGAATTTATTCCTTGGAATCAGAATCAGAGTAGAGTGCTCAGCAATCTAGGTACTCAACCCCTATAGCCAAGAGAGAAGGGAGTCTGGCTACTGCTCCAGCTGGCAGCAGACCTTGGCATCAACCACATGGCAGTGGTTTTAGGTACCTGTAGAATGCAGGAGTTCTGAGGTTAAGAAGGTTTCCACCTAGATTTCAGAAAGCCTGGGAGGCCCGGAAGGTTGTCCCTGAGAGGGCAGTGTATAAAGCTGTGAGTAAGAAACCTATTCAGTGGAAACCCCAGCAGTTTAGAAAAGCCAAGAATGTGGATCATCTAAGGGAAACTGAAAGGAGGGAGAAAAGCCAGTCTAAGAGAAAAGCCATGGGAGCTACAACCACCAAGAGTGCCATAGGGGTGGAGCCACAAGTTCACAATTTGCCACAGATTGCTTTGGATGTTCCACATGGGATTACAGGACTTAATGTTCACCCTTTTGGATTTTGGACTTTGGTTCCAATGCTTGGTATTCCCCTATTGTTTGTACATTTTGGAATGGTAATGTTTATCTTGTGCCACTGAATGTTGGAAGTGTTTACTTTTCTTTTGTATAGGGGCTCATAGCAAAGTTTGCTTTTGATCTTGGAGGAGACTTGGGACTTGAACTTTTCAGCAGTGCTGAAATTTGTAGGGCTTTGGCAACTCTTAGAGATGGACTAAAATACCTTTTGCATAAAGGGATGTGCATGAGTCTTTGGGGGCCCAGGGACATAATGTTATGGTTTGTGTCTAGTCGTCCTCTAGAGCCTCATGCAGTCATGGGGCAGCTTTTGGAGTTTGTGATAGATTATTGTGGGTGTGGATGCTGCACCTGCCCTGGGGCAGTTAATCTGCCCCTTTGGCTTTCTACTATACATATTCACCAAGGTGCTGAACTTTTTCAGGAGTTGGTTTGCTCTGTCATTTTTGCTAACAGTGTCTAGTGATTTTTTCTTTAAATTAAACTTGATGTTTTCCTTTTAACACACACACACACACACACACACACACACACACACACACAAATTATTACAGCTAACTGCCTAAGCTGTGACCATTCCCTTTGCTCTCTGCTCTTTGCTGCCACCATGAGAGGCTGCTCTCTGCCATGTGGTGCTCTGCCTTAGAGCCAGTTGAGTATGGACTGAAACCTCCAGTGACTGTGAGCTAAATAAACCTTTTCTTCCTTCATTTGGGTGCTGGGTATTTTCCTAGAAACAAGAGAACAGTAACTAAGACAGCAGCCTGGCAAGTGCAAGGACCCAGGTTCAATTCCCTGCTGGCACTGGAACCCTGGATGTGCCCTGCTGGCCAGCAAAACTAGGCATGGGTACAGTGCCTATAATCCCAGTGCTGGAGGGGACTGAGACAGGAGGATCACTATGCATCCAAGCTGTGTAGTGAGACCCTGTATCAAATAAATAAATAAATAAAACATTTTTGAAAACCATCTAATCATTCTAGAATAGGAGAACAGGGTAGCTAGCTGTAGGGCATTCATACAGGGAGCGGTAAAAACAATGTGGCAAGTATTTAAAATTTAAAACAATTATTATAGTAAAAGACACTTAATTTCCCTCAAAATATTCCCCTTCACTTTAAACAATTCCCCTCCACAATTCTTACCACCTTCTTTTCTTTTTTGGATTTAGGACAGGGTGTACAGGGTGTACAGGGTCTCACTGTATAGATCGGACTTGTAGTGATCCTCCTGTTTACAGCCTCCCAAGTGCTAGGATTACAGGAGTGTGGCCACCATGCCCAGTCTCAATTGCCATCGTAGCGTGTCCTGGGGTGGGGCTGGCACTGCAGGCCCCAGGAACTTTTTTTTTCTGAGACAAGTACTCACTACGTAGTCCAATGGCCTCGAACTCCTAGCAATCCTCCTGCCTTACTCTTGTAAAAACTTGAAACATAATGTATTTTTAAAAGGCTGGGGATTTGGCTCAGCAGTAGAATGCTTGCCTAGCAAGCTGGAGCCCTGGGTTCAGTCCTCCACACAAAAAACAAAAAAATAAACCTTCCTTAAAAAAAAAAATCAACCAAAAAATACAGTAGAATCAAAAAAGACTAAAAACAAACAAAGTAACATAATGTATTTTTAAAGTCATAACCTTTAGTTTGGAATTCTATATGGCAGTGACCTAGAGCTATCCAAGATGGATAACCTCATAAATACAAAGCTAAATGAAACAGTAAGATGCTGAGAGATTTATAGAATGATATATGAAGTTTTGTTTTTATTTTCTTTTTAAAAATTACTTTCAACATAACTATGCCTACAGATATACACTCATGCTGGTTAAGAATTTGTATATGGACTAAGATTTTAAAAGGAGTTGTAATCTGGTTTATTTATTTTTATTATTTTTTTGGTGGAACCTGGGATTAAACTCAGGCCCTTGCGCTTGCCAGGCAAACATTTATTCTACTGAGCCATCTCCCTGGCCCCCTAATCTGGTTTATTTTTATCTATTCCAAATATATAAAAGATCTTCCATCAAATGGTGCTAAAGAAGGCAGCAAGAATATTGAGAACATATATAGCTTTAAAATGGGAAAAATATTACCATGTAAATGCTAAGAACAAAATTTAGGATGAAAGTTCTTGGCAGAATTCAGTTGGGACTGTGTGCAACTTATTCCTGTTTTATTTCTTAGAGTACAAGTAATATATATATATATATATATTCTCTGTGCCAGTCACTCCTAACCTGATTTCCTGATTTATGTTAGACTCCACTTTTCTATGTAGACTGCTCTCTGAGGACCCTTGGAGAAGGTTGGCAGGAAAATCAGCATGGAGTCTTGCCTGACTGCTAAAAGGCTGGCAGGGTAGGGTGGGACATCAATGCCTCCACATCTCTATAAACTCCACAGGGCATACTTCCCCATCACCTGGGCCAGAAATTCTGCTCTATACTTAACTGGGAGAATGAAATGTTTCATATTTACCTCTATAAAGCTATATAAAATTTTCTTCACGAGATTGTGCCGGGGCCTACCTTCATCCTATTTCTCAACTTGCAACCTTGATTTTCATTTCTATAACAGGTGCACATGGAGATAAGAGCTCCATCTTTCCAGAATCCTTGTGATCTAATCTACCCCACTCCACCTGTGATATCATACTGGTGGACCACAGTACTCTGAATTGGACAGGCTTCTGATCTGTGTGTGAGAACTAAAGGTGATGACATTTTAACCTCCTACCCACCACATGGTTAAGACTTAAATGGAAAACTAAATTCTTATGGAAAAACCCTTGGAAGATTCAGGGGAAGAAAGACCTTCTCCAGTGTCAAAGGCTGATCTTTGACTTAACTGTAATTCAAGTTGCTTATCTTGAGGCAAATGAGGCAATTCTTGAAGTGAAAGAAGATAAACTAATACTATCATTGTCATCAACAAAGAGTTTGCTGCCAGGTATGGTACTGTATGCCCATAATTCCAGCCACCTTGAGGCTGACACAGGAGGATTGAAAGTTTGGCACCAGCCTGGGTGACTTAGTAAAACCCTGACACTGATGAAGATAACAACTTTAAAAACAGGGCTAGATATATAGCTCAGTACTCATTGGATTCAATCCCTAGTACCAAAAACCAAAAGTTTGTGAGTTAGGCACTAGGGCTCTGTGCTAGGCTGAATATTGGGGTGTGGCTACAGTGAATATTAACATATTGTTCTTATCCACAGAGCAGCATACTTTATTTCATAGAAGTTAGAAGAACAATTGTTTTTCACATGATTCATTTAGGCAAAAATAATTGAAACACAGCTTTGAACCAAAGGAAATGGAGAACAATGATTGTACTACAAAGTCTCTGCCCACAATGATACAAACACTTATTTGCTGAGTTGACTGTGGAGTTAGAATTATTCATGGCCAAAGGTCATAGGTATTACCTCAGCTATCACAGCATTTTCATCCTGGGAATACAGAAGCAGCGGGACCAAGCTTTCTAGGACTTGATTCTCCACACCCTTCTTAAGTCTGTGTTTCACAGACTTTATGGAGGCTCCAAAAAGAGTCACGGAGAAATGATGAACATCAGGTCTCATCTATGAAGGGAGTGTCCACAGGGAAGCAACTCACTGAATGCATTCACACCTTATAAGAAGTCTACATGGCTTGAAATATCAGTCTTAGCATGAGGCTATTTAGGTGAACATAGCTGAGAGTAACAAACCAAATGGAAACAGCAAGACCTGCTGTAAGTGAGAAATGGGCATAGCCACCCCCACCTCCTGTCATTGTCAAAACTTGTGCCTCCTACTGGTATTAGATCTTCACATAAGTGGTCTTGCTGGAATATAAAATCCTTGCCTTGGCATATTATGCTCTTCTAAGGATGCTAGTCATTGTGCTCCATGTATATCTTTTTGGAAAAGTTTTGGGATTTGAGGCAAGGACCTAAGTACATTCTGTCATTTCAACCCAGTTCTGATCATTTCTTAATCCCTTTTATCCATCCCACAAAACCATACCTTACTAAGTTTCTGTCTCCATTTTAATAGTATCACCATTCCTACCACTATACTGGGTTACTTGCAAAGATCTTGACAGAGATTTGAAAGTGCTCTAAAGTAAAACATTCCTCATAAAACAGAATATACTTTACTATCCCAATTTCTACTAGCTGTTATGCCAACTACCCTCCCCTGGGGAAGTCAATTCTGTCTTGTTGACTTACATCACCAAATAAAGACAATAGGGTTCTCATCATGGCAGCCAATGTTGTGAAATCCATTGTCCTGACAAGCTTCTGCAGTATCTGGATGGCCAACAAAATAATCCTCTCATCAGATTCCCACAAGCTGTCTAAGATGGATGGCAACAGTCTCTTGATGTCTTCCCTCTGTGTGTCCAAAGGGAGGCATATCACCACCTCTTCTGGTACAATGTTGGGTACCGAAGAGGGGGTTCCCATCTTTACTCAGGATCTAGTACTTGCTGCATTTCTAGCCACACTGCATAGGCCACGGCAGGGGAGAAGTAAAGAAGGCATGACTGCCCTCCCTGTGCTAGCAACCATGCTATGTACTACGTGGGCACAGCCGATGTGAGTTGGCTCACAGAGCAGGAGTACAACCAGGGAGGAGGTCCAGGGATATGGCCTTCGTCTGTTAGGAAATTCTCCCATAACACTGAGAGAAAGTGGAATGGCCAACTCAGATCACAGAGAATTCCCCAGTATGGAAGGTATCCAACAGAGATTTTAAAATTTCTTAGCAGGAATTCAGCAGAATTAGTTGTGGGCTCATAAGAGTCTTTTCCATTCTGAACAGGAATTCTGCTCTTTTGAAATTCCTAAAAGGAAGCAGTATCAGAGTTTTAAAATGTGTGTGTGTGTGTGTGTGTGTGTGTGTGTGCCTATGTGCAGAATAAAGCAACAATATTTATGAATCAACCAGAATTAGCATTCATCATATTTGCTTCAGATATAAAATTCATTTTTTAAAAAAGAGAAACAACTTCGACCAGTTGTACTGAACTCAGGAGGCTGAAGTCCACGGCTGGGCTACTTAGTCAATGGAAGGCCAGACTAACTGTGTATCAAGACCCTCTCTCAAAACCAAAGACAAACAGAGAAACAACTCAAGTGACAAGCCTGAAGTCATGGGGATTATCTGTCTCTTCTGACTGAAGCCTCACTTTTCAGTGAGGCCTGTGGAAAAGGAGAACTCATACCATGAATGCTAGTGATCTTTGTCTTCTTTAATGACAAGCATCTTGGAGCAAATCATTGCTACCCAAGTTACCCCACTTGGTAGTATGGTGCAAAGCATCAAGAGACATCTAAATGTTGTCCAGGTTGTGATGTTAATGTATTTACCTTCTACCCAAATAGCAGCTTCAAAAGGTTGGCCAAATAGCTCAGCGGATTAAAGCACCTGCTTAGGCAGATGCAGCGGCGAGGGTTTGATCCCTGGCCTGCTGTGTTGTGCTGTGTCAGCTCTGTCCCTGGGGCAAGCTGAGTGGGTGATTGAGACTGGGCATGGTGGCACACACATGTAATCCCAGATCTTGGAAGGCTGAACATAGACGTATCACTATCAGTTCGATCTACATAGTGAGACCCTGTAGACCCCGTACTAAATACAAAAAAAAAACCAAAAACCCAAATAGCAGCTTCAAATATTATGAATATATGTGACTTGTACTTTTAAAAACATCATTTAATTTGTTGGTAGTATTTGCATATTTTAAAATTCAAATTTAATGGCATGCCTATAACTCTAACACTCTGGGAAGCTCAGGTAGGAAGACCACAAGCTTGAGGACACTTTGGGCAACTTAAACCCTATCTGAAAATATAAAAAGAAATCTTAAAGGACTGGGAATGTAGCTTGGTGTGAAGGACTTGGTTCAATCTCTGGTCCTCACTCTGCCAAATCAAATGATATAAAAGGATACGCAGTTAACAAGACCTTCTCCTGCCCTACTCCTAGCACCATGCTACCTAATTTTCCTCTCAGTTGTTTTCAGTTTTATGGGTATCTTTTTGGGATGCTGACTTTGTTGTGGTGATTATCTGCTGACAACAAAGAGTTATAGCTTTGAGCAGAATTCCCCCACTAAAATAATGCTGCCCAGCATATGCTCTTAACACTGACCCAAAACAGCAGGAAATAAAAGTAAATCTTTCTCCCAGTGAGAAATGGCTGTCTATGAGGCCAAAGTAAATTATCCTGTCAGTTTATACTTTTGATGTACAACTTCATGTATTCTTTTTTTATTTTAATTTTATTTATTTATTTATTTATTTTTGTGGTACCTGAGATCAAACTCAGGACCTTTGTGCTTGCCAGGCAGGCACTTATTCCATTGAGCTGTATCCCTAGCCCCAGATGTACAATTTTAGATACAATGCAGTTGTTCCTGGAAAATTAATAAGAGCCTTTGAAAAATGCATTTCTGCAATAACTACATTTGTTAACTCAAACCCTTTCCTGTCTTCAATCCCTTATAAAAACTTCAATCACTTACCCTGATGGTGCAACTCCTTTCTTGGAAACTTTCCCATTGTCCTCCTTGACAATGTGCTTTGATCTGAAAAAACTCGTGTTCTTATTCTGATCTTGGTAAATTATTTTACCACCATGTCATTGGCCCTCTGTAATGTCATCTGGTGTGGCATGGGGTCTCTTACCATCTCCCAGTGTCCGGCAAGATTGTGGAGCCCCCTCAGAGCAAGAATCCTAAAGAGATTATTTCTATGATGCAGCCAGTCTCTCAGGCGGGCTATGGAGTATGTGCTGGGCAGTCTCCTGGCCACTGGACTTTGAAGGAGCTGAAAGAACCCAGAAACCAACAAAGGTAATGAGTGGTCTCTAAGCTGTTTTCTCATAAGAGAAGCTTCCTTCCTATCAACTCTAAAACATGTATTTTCCTTTGAAATCTCCATGATACTGTACACACACTATGGGGTAATGCTTAAACATTGAATAATACATACAAAGAATAAATTTAATATTCTTCAATCTGAAAAATCTCTCTCTCACATGCCTGAGTTGGGTATGATCTAGGAAGGTAGGTGCTGCTGTATAGCCTCCTGCATCTGGCATCTACATAAAGATTCTTACCTCCACAAAAAAGCCTGCAGATGTGAGCTTATGTTTATCATTCCCTCGGTTAAGAAGTGGAACTAACAAATACAAGATCCTGCATGCAAGGAGGCGATTTCTTTCTAGCAATGCACTGCAAAACAGAATGCAAGAATGCTCTCAGGGGGCTGGCAAGATAGCTCAGCAATCTAAAGCACCTGCTTAGGCAAACTTAGGCAGGCACAGGGGATCACAGTTCAATCCCCAGCACCACATACCACACCAGCCCTGCCCTCAGGGTGGGCTGAGCCGCCCCCTGCAAAAAAAAAAAAAAAAAAAAAAAAGAAAGAAAGAAAGAAAGAAAAAAGAATGCTCTCAGGCATGCTCCCACTCAGGAGGCATTCTCTCAGATTGGAGACCCCAAAGTCTTTGTCTCACTTCCAGGGTGCAGGAATATATAGAGAGCCAGGACCTCTGGAAAGGTTGCCTGGCAGGATGGGCACTGCCCACTGTCTTATGAGAAGGTGACCCAATTAGTTTTGACAATTAAAGGGGGGAAAAGATACCTAGTACAATACTGATGTAGGGCAGGTTGGTGTATGATGACAAGGGAGCCTTACTTGGCAAGGAGAAATACTCCCTGAAGATGGCAATCTTCTCCCTGCAGCAGAGTCCATCCTTTATTCTTTTCCATTACATCAAATTCCCAGCTGCATAATGCTCTGAGAAGTAGAGTCTTTGTGGCCTGTATGGCAAAACTAAAACAAAAACAGCTTAGTGACTAGAAGGGGGTCTCACTAACTTGTGAGCAGTCACTTTGGTCTTGCTGGGAAGGGCAACACATTGGTAGCTGCTCACTGTGACTCTCCCTTCTCTAGATTCCCCAAGACTCTCAGTGCTCTAACAGCCTGAGAGGGGCTTCGCAAAAATTCTCAGCATAAAGAAGTCTAAATAGATTTTATTTTCCTATGAGTTTGGGAGGAACACTATGATAAAATAAATGATCTGGGATGCTAAATGGATTTTTAATGGTGTTTTTGTGTGTGTGGTGGTAGGCAGGGCCTTAACACTGATCTATGGCCTCAGCCTTTTGTTTTGTTTTGTTTTTTTGTTATTTTTGAGACAGAGTTTCGCTAAATTGTTAAGCTGCCCAGAATTCGCTCAAACTTTCAATCCTTAGATCTCAACTTTCCAGAATGCTGAGATTATAGGCATGTGCCACAATGCCCAATTTTTTTCTCAAGGTTTTATATCTTAATTTTGAAATAATTTATACCCCATAAAAACTTAACCTCACTGCTTCTGAAACCTTTTTTTTTTTTTTTTTCATAAACAGGGATTGAATTCAGGTCCTTGCACTTGCCTGGCAAGTGCTTATTCAACTGAGCTATCTCCCTGGCCCCTTCACCTCACTGCTTTTGTAGGACTTGGAAGGAAATGGGGACAATGGTGAATGATGTTGCTGGTTATCATATTTTTTTTTTCTGGGTTGGTTTATTTTTGTTTTTGTTTTTTGAGTCAGGGTTTCACTTTGTAGTTCAGGCTGGTCTTGAACTCACTAGAGAGCCCAGGCTTCCCTTGAACTTGTATTGATTCTTCTGCCTCTACTTCCCAACTGCTGGGATTACAGGTGTGAGTCACCACAGCTAACAACCTCACTGCTTTTTTTTTTTCCAAAATTTTATTGATAAACAGCAATGAGACAGTTTCAAATCAAATCGTAAGTACAGTTTCAACAAATAACATACTGCATATATTCTTCTTAGTGGTTAATTGCTGTACAAGATGCGGACTTGAGATCCTATTTACAAACACCATTAGAACAAATCATTCTATTCATTAAGAGAGGGGCCAGGGAGATGGCTCAGTTGAATAAGTGCTTGCCTGGCAAGCCTAAGGACCTGAGTTCAATCCCTGGTTCTGGAAAAAAAAAAGTATATTCATTAAGAGAATGCAACTTTATATCTATCCTAACCACTTTGAATACACAGATACAACATGGACATTCATCTGTATACCCTATTTTTTCTAAGTTCCGTTATTGAATATTATAGGTGTGTAAATTCAGCAAAATATTCTAAAAGAGTCCAGTAGACCATAATAGCATTGGGTCTTCTGTTTAACTGGCAATGTCAGAAATTATTGACCTGAGTCCCCCATAGCTCAACATAACAGCATGGGTTTCCTTCCTATATTTCGTCTTCATACTTTTCTACTGGATGGATAAGACCAAGGTAAAGCAGGACCTATGCAACAAGAGTTGTAGCTTTTTGGTCTGAGAAGGTCAGTGAAATCCCCTCAGGATTTATCCTGAGATCCTGTACCTCAGATTGTAGAACCTTTGTCAGTGCAGCCATGTGCTTTTAAAAACTTACTCAAACTGGGTGTGGTGATGCTTGCCTGTAATCCAAGCACTTGGGAAGCTGAGGCAGGAAGATTGCTGCAAGTTCAAGACCAGTCAAGTCTACACAGTGAGTCCAGGTCAGCCAGAACTACATAGTGAGAACTTGTCTCAAAAAAAAAAAATGATAAAAAGAAAAGAATGTCCCGCTGATAGCTCAGTGGACTAAAAAGAAAAGAAAAAGAAAAAAACCTTCTTGTTCAATTGGTATCATGGACATGGCATTAACAAATTTAAAGCTGTAAGAGTCCTTAAAGATCATCTTGTCTGATCTCATTGACAGATAAAGAAACTGAGGGATAGAACTATAAATTTAACAAACACAGTTAACTATATTTAAGAAATACAGCTAAATAGATGAATGAGAACTAAAATTTGGTCTACTTGCCACTCTTAGTTGGGTGTTGTAAAATATTCCACATTATAGCCCTTCCTCTGAAAGAAATCCATGTTCTATAGCCACACTAAGAGATTTTTGAGATCCTCATGGGGAGCTAAAAGCCTTTCTTCATGCATACATTATACCAGAAATGAGGTTTGGTACAGTTATAGAGGTGAGTTTAGGCCATGTCGTTCATCTCTGTCTATACTTGATTTATCAAGAAGGGTTGGCATATCACACATTAACTTGCAGGGGGCATCTGAGCTCACACAGGCAAATACTAAAGACTATCAGTGAAATCCTATAACAATGGGTATTTTATCTTGATGTCTTATGAGGACTATGGAATGTCTGCCCCTCACAGTTGGGACCACTCTCAGCTATCACCAGTGCCCAGTGCTTCATAAATGTTAAGGTCCTGGGGCTGGAGAGATAGCTCAGCTGCATAAGTACCTGCCTGGCAAGCACAAGGTCCTGAGTTTGATCCCCAGTACTGCAAAATAAATTAAATTTAAATAAATAAATAGACAAATAAATAAATAAAAGGTCCTAAAATCACATGGGAAGTACCACAAAGGTGTGACCTCTGCCAACATTTTCTGCTCTGTATACAGGCCACTTGGGATGGCAACATCAGACATGGTTAGGCCAATGCTGTGGTGAATCTGGATGAGCAGGGTCATGAGAAGCTGAGGAAAGAGTCGGAATGTAGCTGCTCGCAGCCTGTTTCCCACAAACACTTCATAAAGGGCATCTGTTGCCTGCAGAAGAAAAGGCACAAAGAAGATCTGAGTGCCTAGAGCCCCAAATCTAAATCTACTACTTTTCTGATTCTTTTGCATAGCTTCTGTTAGTGTTATAATATGCTTTTCGGCTCTACTACCCCATAAGCAAAACAGTGGGAATTATATCACAGGGACATGGAAGTGAAGGGAAAAAGGAAGAAAAGTAAAGTGGTCATTCAAGTCGCTTTAGGGCCAGTAGTGGAACACTGTTGTATCCAATCCCTAGTATCTCCCTCCCCCCAAAAAAAGGTTACCAAGAAGAGACTTAAAATCCAGAAGACACAAAACTATTTATTTTTATTTTTAATTTTGAGACAGGGTCTTGCTATGTAGTTCAGGATGGTCCTGAACCATATAGCCCAGCAGGTTGGCCTTGAACTCACAGGATCCTCTTGCCTCAGCCTTCCAGGGTACTGGGATTACAAACATGTGCTACCACACCTGGCTCTATAAAGATGACTACTAACACACTTGACTAAATACAAATAGAAAACTAGGACAAGATATATCATAAAGATAGATGACAATCCACAAAATGTTTGCAACAATGTATTATTCTTAATAAAATGCTTCTGAATTTAATTTTTAAAAAAAGCATAAAAGTTTGGTCAGAGTATGAGCTACACAGCACAGCAGTCCCTGAGAGCCAGTGGACAGAGTCTCAACACCAATTGTCCCAACCCTGGCCTCACACTCTCTGCATCAGAATCTGCACATTAGTAAGATCCCCAGGTGACTGTGGTTTGTGCATATATTAAATCTGAGAAGTACTATTGTACAGGCATGAGCAGATGTGTCACAAAGAAATGTAAGTAGTTAATTAAAAGACATGCAAACTGTCAACCTCTCCAAAAACAAAATTATAACTAAAATTTACACTTTTCATCTAATTGCAAGGCAATCATGAGAAGATAGTGCCACGAGGACGAGGAGAAATAAGTGTCCCTCAGATATGACAGAGAAGGGAACATTCTGCAAATATGTATCAAAGTTTTAAATACATCCACTGTTTGTTCCAGAACTTCCCCAGAACTTATAGTGTATTTTATCCCAAGAAGATATCAAATATGCATGACAATATTTATGTGTACACAATAACGGTTGCCACAGCACTGTTTTAATGGCAAAGTTTGAAAGTTATGAAAATACTTATTTAATAGAAAATGTCATAACTAAAAATGATCTGATCCAGGTGCATGGTGCACTTGTATATTCTATGATCCCTACAGTCCCAGCTACTCAGGAAGCTGAAGCAAGAGAATCACTTGAGCCTAAAAACTAGAGGTATCCCAAGTAACACACACACACACACACACACACACACACACCCCACAAAACAGAACAATAAAATTTATTGTTATGTAAGATATATTTAAAAATCAAGTAATAAAAAAATAAAAAAAATGACTTGCTAGGGAGACTGTCTCAAAAAACCAGAAAACAAAAACAAACAAACAAACAGAAAACAACTACGCCTTCATAGAAAAGATAGCAGAAAATCCTCTCTATTGATATGAAAAGTACTTCATATTGTTAATTGAAAAAAGCAATCTATGTAGAATGCTATTAGTATGTATATATTTTACATACTAATATTAGTAAATATATACTTCTATTTGCCCTAACTTTTAAAACTGCACTAAAATGGTGTTGTAGGGATAAAGTATACACTGATAGAAGACAAAGCTGATAGAAGGTGAAGCTGTGTATGTTTGGAAGCCAGGGACTTGGGAAAACTTTGTACTTGCTGCTCAGGTTATTTTTCTTGTCCATTTGAGACAGGATCTCTCTATGTGGTTCAGGCTGGCCTTGAGCTCACTCTGTAGCCCAGGGTGGAGGCTGGTCTCAAACTCACAACTATCCTCCTGCCTCAGCCTCCCAAGTGCTAGGATGATAGGCATGCACATACCATACCTGCTGCTGCTCAGTTTTGCTAGGAACATAAAATTTCTCTAAAAAGTTGTCTATTTAAAATGAAAAAAGTGGAGCCGGGGAGATGGCTCAGTGAAATAAGTGCTTCCTTGGCAAGCGCAAGGGCCTGAGTTCAATCCCTGGTTCTGCCAAAAAATAAATAAATAAATAAATAAAATAAAATAAAATAAAATAAAATGAAAAAAGTATAATAAATATACAGTACACATTAAAGTTTATGTATCAATGCATCAAAACAGTTTGTTTTTAGGGATATGGTACAGAAATGAGCTAAAAATTTTTTTTTCTTAAATCTTTTTCGCAATAAGGTGTTATGATGTACGAAATCCAGTCCGGTCTTAAACTCCTGGGCTCAAGCAATCCTTCTGCATTAGCCTTCTATGTAGCTGGGACTACAGAAGATAGACTGACTTCTGGTATTACTATTATTATTATTACTACTACTATCTTGAGGGCTGGGGAGATAGCTCAATAGAACAAATGCTTGCCTGGCAAGTATAAGGGCCTGAGTTCAATTCCCAGTTCTGGAAAAT